TATAATATATATATATATATATATATATTTATATATATTTCATTATACATATTTATACTAATTATTAATTTTTTTTTAAAAAAAAATATTTATTATATAAAATATTTTATAATATATTTTTATTTTTGATTTTCTTCTTGTTATTTTTATTTTACTTTTAAATTATTATTTCACAAATAATATTAAATATAATATATTTTATTATAATTTACTTTATTTTTTTAATTTGTATTTATATATATATTATTTTATTTTCTCACTTACATTATTTTATTTCATATTTTTTAATGAAGTTTAAGAATGTACTCTTTACTTTTAATTTTTTTCTTAATTTTAATTTCCAAATGTTATTTAAGGATATTATTCTACTGTATTTTATTATTTTTTTACATTTTAAAGTCCTGCAAATTTGCAATCTGAATTAAATAAGTTTAGTTATAATTTTTATTTTTATTATTATATTTATATATATGGAATATTTTTTTAATTTTAATTTTTTTTTAAAGTAATTATTTCTTTTTTATTAATTTCATCTTTAATATTTAAATCTTTGTTTTCCTAAATTAATTAAGAAATAAGGTTTTATTATTCATTTATAAATTTCTATTAATCTTAACTTTAATATTATTATAAAACCTAATTTAAGTTTTCATTTTCTTGGACTAATAAATAAACTTTATCTTCTAATTCTTTTAGAACTTCCTTTTATTCTTCAATTATAGTATTATTTGACTACTCTGTATGTATATTTTAAATTTCGTTCGCTTAATTTTTCAAAAGCTCATTTTCTTTCATTACCAAAGATATTTATTTTTCAAAATGTGAAATTATTTTCAAAGATTCTTATTCTAACATATCGTTTTTTTCTTATTAACTTTAATTTTATTAGGTTTGATATTTTTTGCTAATTTCTTCAACTAAATCATTTAAATTATAATTTTGTTTTATTAACTCTTCATTTTATTATATGAGTTATTATTAAGATTGTTAATTTTGAGCTAGTTATTAATGCAATAGCTAATTTTCTGCTTGGATTTATAAAATTTATTATTATTTTTATTAAATAATTTATTCTTTTTTATTAATTTCTTATTTATCTTTTTTTTTATTAAAAAAAGAAATGTAAAATTTAAATAAATAAATAAATAATACATTCAGTTTAGTCTTATATTAATTTATTCAAACTAGTGTTTTCAGAAAGCATTTATTATAATAAGTTTTCTGCTTTTATTAATTAAGATTTATATTATTCCTTTTCTAATATTATTAATTCTATGTTATTAATATTACTATATTATTATTAATTATTTTGAATTTGATAACAATTTCCATCGTTATTTTTATTTTAATCTTATATATATTACTATTAATATTACTATTATTATAAGGAATTATTATTATCATTATTATATAATTTAATATTTTATTTTTTATAGTTTTATTAATATTCCATATTAGGATATATAAACTGCTGTTTTTAAAATACATAATTATTATTTTTGATTTATTATTATAAATATATATTATTTATTTATTTTTATTATTTAATTATTTAAACATTTTAATTTTATTCTTATTACTTTAATTAGCTATCAATTGAGTTTATATGTTACTTTTAAGGTGATATTGAAGAATATACTCTAGATTATTATTTTTTTATCATAGATTATTATATTTAATGGGTATTTTCTAAAGAAATTTAAGTTTTTAATTTATTAATTGGGTTGGGTTAGACTTATTAATGTTATTAATTTAATAAACAAACTCGCATTTTACAATTAATTTATAATATGATATTTATATATTATTAACAGATTAAATAAAAAATAAAAAGCAATAAAATTTATTATAAATCAAATTATTTAATTAAGTTTTTTTAATTATTTTCATAATCATATATTTTTAAAAAAAATACTATGATAAAATTAGAATTTAAAAAAAATGTTTTTAAAATGAATTAAATAAAAAAGTCAAAAAAAATGAATAGAGTTTTATATCAAATTTTATAATTTGATAATTTCAAACGTAAACAAAAAATAGAGTAGATCTTTCAATAAAAATAAATAAAAAAATCAAATAAAAAAAAAACTAAAATAATATATATATATTTATATGAATATATATATGTATAATATATATATATTATTATACTATATATATTTTTATATATATATATATATTATATAATATAATTATCAATTTCTTTTAACTTCTTATCTTATATTATCTAATTCTTCGAGTAATCTTTTATTAAGTTAAGCTTCATTTTCATTCATAGCTGCTAAACAAACTTTTTTATTTTTCAAGTTATCATTCATTTATTCTTTAAGTGTACCCGCATATGTCTACATAACTTCTTTTTTTTCCTTATTTTTTTTATCCTAAAATTAATTAAAAAGTTCATTATCATTTTTCCAAATAACAGCCTATTCATTATAATTTTCTTTTTCCTTCTTTGCTCTTTATTCTTTTTCTTCCATTTATTTAAATAAATACTCTTTCATAAGCGCTTTCTATTCTTTTTCTTTTCTTTTTCTATCAATTTCTTATTGGTCTAACTTCTTCTCATGTCTATCATGATATTTTTATCTTCTTTTGTCCATAATCGCTACTTTATCTTCATGCACCATAGTCACATTTTCTAAAGCTGCTCTTTAATACTCTTTCATTTTGTCTTCCCTTTCCTACAAAGTTTTATCTCTTTATTTATCCTACTCATCAATAAGTCTACAATAAGCATCCATAAGCTAAATATTTTCCTATCTTTCTTACTCTGCTTCTTATCTCATTCTTTCTTTTCTTTCTTCATTTTCCTAAAGCAATTTTTTCATAACTTATGCTTAATGTTCTTTTTTGAAAAGTTAATATTATTAATCAGCCTCTATTTCTTCCTTTACTTTTTACATTAAATAAGCATCTAATTATTTTTCTTATTTTTAATCTTATCTTCTTCTATGCTTATTTTCTTTAACTTATTTTTCCCGATCCATTTTTTCCATTTCCTTTATTTTTTAAAGTTGAATGGCTTTCTCTTTTTCTTTCTCGTCGAAAATATCCATTTATACTTTTATATTATCAACATAATTATAATTTTATTTTCTTTCCTTTTCTTTTAGTTTTTCCTTCTCTTTTACCTAAGCATCTAAATTTTCTCGTGTTTAAATCACTTCCTATATTTTTTTCTGACGTAACATTTCCTATTCTTTATCATAAAGGAATTTATTATATTTATATATAGCTGCCCACTCATTTTCTTCTTCTAGAAAATCTAAATCATTCTCGTATTTTTTTATTTGAGTTCCTTGTAATTTTTTAGTCTTTTTAACCTCACTTTCTTTATCATCTTAATTGCTCAAATTTTTCTATTGAGTGTATTTGTCCACTTCATCGAAATTTGTGGCACCAGACATTTTAGAAATACCTGATTTGACAGATTCATCGTCTTCTATTTTCACTTGGTCGCTTTTTTCTTTCTTAGTTTAGGCTTTTATAGAATCCTCAAGATTTTTTAAACCTTCGGCAGTTATATGTGTCGTGTTTTTCATGTAATTTGAAACTTCTCCTTTTATTAATTCGGAATTTTATATTCCATATTTTTTAGAAAGACGATCGGCTACTTGACGCTTTAATTCCTCTTTTTATTGCTAAGTTAAGTTTTTTCGTGATTTAATTTCCGAAGGATTATTTGCAGGATGCTTTTTGGGATACATTTAATATTTTCTGGGAATGCTTATTTATTGGTTTTTTTTTTTTAAAAAAATATATATATATATTTATTTAATATTATTATTCAATTATTAAATTTTTATTTTTATATTTTTTTATATATATATTTTTATTTTCTTTTATAAAAAACGTTATATAATTTGTTTATCTTCAACTAAATTTATTAACTATTTATTTTATTAAACAAAAATTTTATTTGTATATATATCAATTTAAATTCTTTATATTATTTATAATATTTATTTTTATTAAATTATAAAATAAATTTAATATTTTTTTTTAGAATAATAATATTTTATATAAAAAAAAACATATATAAATAAATTTAATTAATAATAAAAAATTATTTAATATATTTAATAATACATATTTAAAAAAAAAAACTATATTTATTCTTTTTTAATATAATTCCAAATAATATTTATATGAAATTCATAAAATATTTTTAAATATTACTTTTTAATAATAAATAAAATTGGAATGCTTAATATATTATTAATATAATTACCTTTATTCTATTAAAAAATAGTTTATTAAAAGAAGAATAAGAAAAAAAAATTGTATTTTAGATTAATTATTTTAAAATAAAAATATATATATATATATATATATATATTTATATAATTATATATATATTTTTTTTTGAAAAAAAAAAAAAAATTAATTTATATTATCATATATAAAATACATCAATATAAAATGGTTAGACCACGTATGATTTTAACTAAATTAAAAGAAACAAAAGCTAAAAACTCACAACTTAATTAAAATTTACATGATTACGATGATAAATTTTAACGTACATCAGCAAAACTTTTTATAGTAATTGGATTAATAATAGCAGGAACATTTTATTGTAAATAAATTTTAATTTTTTAAAAAAATAAAATATACAAAAATTTTAAAGCATAAGCTTCAATACTTAATTTTTTCCAGACTTAAACATAACAGCAGTATTTTTAAATAAAATAAACATATTTTTTATATTAAAATTAATTATTTTTTAAAAGAATTGATGAAAAAAATTTATAAAATAAATAAAAATCTATTGAAGAAGGTTAATTATTACTCAAAAAGCATTTAAATAAAGAAAAAAAATGAAAAAAATAAAATATAAACAGTTCGAACAAAAAAAAAAAATTAAAAGGAAGAAAAACTATATATAATTGTTATTATTTATGTCTTAATTTAGAATATTTTTTAATAAAAAAATAAAATAATATATAAAAAATTAAAACTAGAGGTTAAATTTACATACAAAAATAAAAAAATAAAATACTAAAAATTAAAATAAAAATGACTGATCTATACATAGATATAAATTCAAACAAATCAAGCAATTATTCAAATTCTGATTAAGACTCAGACAGCCAAGAAGCATTTATTCCCAAAAAAACCGATTTTTTTTCTGGATTATCGATACCCACAAACAATCAATCTGATTTTTCCCAATAACTAAAAGCACAAGTCCTTGATTAAACAAAACTCGAGCACACATACCGCTCTACTACAACTGAATAAAAAGTTAAAAGAATGCAAAAACGTGTAAAATAAACATTAGATATAGAAAAATCATCAGAAGAAGAATAAGAAGAAGAAGAAAATATCCCACAAGAAAAGACTTAATCCACATAAATAAAAAATTAGGAACTAAAAAAAAAACAATAAAAACTACTAATAAAAAAAGCCCCGTAAAAAACGTGGTAATAATTAGGTGTAATAAAACCTTTACTAAAAGCTATAGATGAAATGGAATATGAAAATCCTACACAAATTCAATAATTATCAATTCCTCCATCTTTATAAGGAAAAGACATACTCGCAAGTTCTTTAACTGGTTCTGGGAAAACGGCTGCATTTTTAATTCCTATACTCTAAAATACTATCATTCCCAATACACAAATTACTCCAAAGCTGTAATAGTAACCCCTACTCGTGAATTGGCATTTTAATGTTTCGATTTTTTCACTAAACTAAATACATATACCAAACTTCGAGCCTGTCTAATAATTGGAGCCGTTTCAATGCAAAAATAAGAAGCTGAATTAAGAAGATTTCCTGACTTGATAATTTCTACTCCTGGAAGACTTATAGATCATTTAAGAAATTCTAAATGTGTGGATTTAGATAATTTAGAAATACTGGTTTTTGATGAGGCGGATAAATAATTAGAATTAGGTTTTGAAAGCGAAATAAAGGAAATTCTCTAAAATTGCAGCAGAGATAGACAAACTCTTCTTTTTTCTGCTACATTGAATGATAGTGTTTAATCTTTGATTGATTTAGCTCTTAAGAAGCCTGTTAGGATAAAAATAAACGCAAGTAATAGCACAAACGATAAACTAACATAAAAAATGCTTAAAATTCCATTCGAAAATACGCGTGAAGCTTCTCTATTGGCAGTTGCAGCCAAATTCTACAAAGATAAAACAGTAATTTTTTTTAAAACAAAAAAATAATGTCACCGCATGGCAATTATTTTCGGGCTTTTCAAACTATCAGTCTGTGAACTACATGGAAATATGACCCAAAACCAAAGAATTCAAGCCTTCACAGATTTTAAAGAAGGAAAATACTCGTACTTAATGGCCACAGATTTAGCAGCCAGAGGGCTAGATATTTAAGGCTTAAAAGCAGTTATTAATTATGAACTTCCTACTGAAGTTTCAAGATACATACATAGAGTAGGAAGAACTGCAAGAGCAGGAAAAGAGGGAGTTTCGCTCACTTTAGGGACTGAATAAGAACTTAAAAGTCTGAAAAAAATGCTTAAGGAAAATTAAGATTCGGCTATGAAGAAATTTAGTATTCCTGAAGATATATTGAAAAGCTATTAAGATAAAATTAAAGGAATTGAAAGGGAAATCGAAAGGGTTATAGATGAAGAATAGGCTGAAAGATAATTAAGAAAAGCAGAAATGGAAATGAAAAAAGCAGAAAACTTAATCAAGTTTTAAGATGATATTTTAAACAAACCAAAAAAAACTTGGTTTTAAACTAATTAGTAGAGAAATTAAATTAGAGAAGCTTCAAAAGAAGCTTCTTTATAGAAAAAAAGACATTTATGATTTTTGTATAGTTATTTCATGTAAAAATAAATAAATTGCTTATTTAGTTTTGAAACAAAGCAAAAAATTACAAAAATTTATATAAAATATAAAAATTATAAATTTAAAATAATATAATATATATTTTTATATTAAAAAAATAAAACTTTTTAATTTATTACAAAAAAACATGTAAGATTTTGATTTAGATGATATAATAAATTCATTGGAAAACAAAAAAAATAAAGAAACGATATATCTAATTAAAAAGTAAGTCAAAGTAATAATAATATTGAAGAATAAAAAAATACATAAAGAAATTAAAGAAATTAAAATTCTAATTCTAAAAATGATAATCTGTATTAACAAAATAGAGATAAAGATAATGATAATGATTTTTTTGAACAAATCGCTAAAGATTTAGATAAAAACAAAAAATCAACTAATTTATCTATTTTATAATAGAAAAACAATTAACTAGAAGGAGATGAAATTCGTAGAAAATCTTAGTTTTATTAAAAAAATGATTAAGAAAAGGATAAAAGAATAACTCAACCGCGAATTCGGAGTCAAGTATTATACATATAAATATATATATATATATATATATATATATATATATATATATATTTATATATATATATATTTATTTTTGTTTAAAATAAAGCTTGATTATAGATAATTAGAAAACGACTAGAATGATTAAGCACCGTCAATTTCTAAAACTCCTATGTCTTTATACTAAAATTTGTAAATTAATGGAAGTTTTTAAACTACAAATAAGAAAAATAATTTTAAAGAAAACTCATCTAGTATTGATAAAGATTAATTTTTTAATTTGGGTGGTACATTAGATAACAATCAATAAAAAAATAAAATTAATTTGATAAACACTGAATTAAATTTTTTTGCTAGTCCTATAAATAAATTAAAAGACCCGCGATAAGAAATTAACTAAAAATTAATTGAATAAATAAAGTAAGAAACTGAAAATTTACAAAATACATATAATTTACAATTAGTAAGTTTGAAATAAAAATATGAGGAAATATTGAAATTCGAAAGGCAAAAAAGCATTGAAATGTAAGAAGAAGCAAATACCCTTTTAAAGGAATAATTTGATAATTTACGAAATATTTTTTTAAAAGAAATGGAAGAATAACGCAAAATTTTTTAAATTCAATAATTGAAAGTGGAATAGGCTCACGAAAAAAATATTTCTTTATTAAATTAACAATTGGAAAAACAAAATGAAACATTATTCTAAGAAATAAGCTTCAAAACAAACAAAGAATAAATAGATAAATTAACAGAATAAATATTAATCCATATACCTGATAGTGTTAATATATAATTAACTTAACAATTAAAGGAAAACGATGAACTAAAAGAATAATAAGAAGAATTAGAAATAAAAGAACTCGAGAAAAAATTATTAGCAGAAAGATAATTTATAGAAAACGAAAAGGATTAAATTTAAAAAATAAAAGAAAAATTAAATAATAGTGAAATTTAAATAATCGAAAATCTTAAAAAAGAAAAGGAAATGATCAAAAACGAATATTAAAAATTAAACGATGCATAAACACATCTCAATGAATTAAATGAAAAAAATAAAAATTTGTTATAAAATGAGTAAATACTTTACGAAAAAGAAAAATTAAAACTCGAAAATGAAAGATAAGAAATTTAAATCGAATATGAATAAAAATATAAAGAATATGAGAGATAAAATTATTTATTTTTAAATATGAAAGAATAATTTGGAAAAAATAATGCATAGGTTTAGGAAAAAATGGATTTAATGGAAAAAATGCTAAATAATAAAAAATAAGAAATTGAATTTAATTAATAAATGTAAATGAAAAAAGAAAGAGAAAATTAAATAAAAAAATTGGATTAAATCTAAGATGATTTACAAACGAATTAATAAAATAATATTAACGGAGAAGAAGTAAAAATTCTTTAAAAAGAATAGGAAATTGAAGAATAATAGAAAAATGTATTTATAAAACAATAATTAATTTATGAATAGAAATTCTAACTTAATTTAATACAAAACTAAGTTTAAAATAAAAAATAATAATTAATTAATTACGATTTCGACTAACTTATGTAAAAATAACCGATTCATTTGTTTTAATAACCTAGGCTATAAGAAAAAAAAATAGAATAATAATAAAATAATAATATTAATAATAATAATGATGTTTATAATGATTTTAATATTTCTAAAATATTTAATTAAACCGATTAAATGAAAACAGGAAGTTCTTTTAAATTCTTTTAAAAAAAAGATTAACAAAAAAAAATTAATAACGAAAATTTATTTTAAAATTAATAATAAAATTTATAAATAAATTAATAAATACATTTAAAATAATTTTTGGGATCTATTAATGATACTAATTAAAAATTCTAAGAAAATTAACTTTATATTTAAAACGAAAAAAAAAATATAGCTTTAAATAAAAAAAATAATTTTTGAATATTAATTTAAAAAAATATTAAATTTTTTTATTTTTTTATTTTTTTTTTAATATTCAACAAATATTTTACTTTTTCAAAATAATTATAATTTATATATAATAACTTATATATTCATTTATTTTTAATATATACTATTTATTAAAAAGAAAATAAAAAATTATAATAAAAAGAACATAATTTAGACAAAAAAAATTATTAAAACCACTTACAATTTATAAAAAATTAAATGATTTTTTTTTAAAAAAAAAATAGTATGTAACTATTTAAATATATATAATAGTATGTAATTTTTAATAATTAACTCATTATCAAAATCAAGCTACAGGGTAAGATGCTGAGTTGCACAATCCACAAGTGTTTCCTCTTTTCAAGTTAATATATCCTTATTATCCCCAAGAAGTATTCCATGAGTTTTTAACAATCCAATATTCAGAAGTATATCCAACAGCCAAAACACCATGATTTAATCTAGTAGCACAATCATCGAAAACACCAGAAGAATAACTTTACCAATTAGAAGCATCTACGGCAATAGAAGTGGGTCTTTAACTAACTGATTAGGCTAAAGCATCACAGTCTCCAACTGGAATTTCTTAATAGGAGGAAATTTTAAATTCTCCATTTTTATTTTTGCATGAGAAGTGGGATTTTGCCTCATAAGGGTATTTATCTTCTGTAGTAACTCCATGAGAGGCTACCCATTTGAAAGCACGGGGCATAAGACCTCCATTACATCCTAAGTTTCCATATAGCCAAGAACAATCCATCAATTATTATTCAGAAAAAGCTGATAAAGTTTTGTTTTATAAATAATTGGCACCTTCAAGTGATCCAGTTGTAGAAAAAGCCCAACAAGAACCACATTAGCCTTAATCTTTTACAGGAGTAACTGCTCCTTAAGTTCTCCAATCAACACTATCAGGTAAGTCTTCTACATTAACTATTTCTTAAGAAATATTTTCTGGATAATAATTTATGATATTCAAACCTAAGTAAGTTTAAATAAATTCTTCTCTAGTTAAATGAGATATACTATTTACTCCTAAAGTGAAAGATTGGCTTTTCTTGTTTTATTATTCAATGTATTTTAAATTTTCGGTGAAAACTTAAAGACGGTATTAATATTATTATTAAGATTAGTATTGTTTGTTATATTTAAAGTTGAAATTCTCGAATTCAGATACGTAGTTGACATTTTAAGAACTACGAATAAGGGGAGTTTAGGGTGATAACAATAATATTGGTCCAACTGAAAGTAAGGTGAAAGATGCTAAGGCTAATAATAATAATCCTTTCATTTATATTTTAATTTTTTTATAATATTTTTATATATATATGTAATTTATATAATTTTTAAATTGTTAGAAATTTAAAAATAAAATTAAGATTATAATATTAAAGAACATACAAATTAATAAAATTGATTTTTAAAAGAAGTTGAAAAAAATAATTATTAAATATATATATAAAAATAATTATTATTTAAATATATTAATATATAAATTAATTAAAATAAAAAAATATATATAAAAATAAAACATTTTTAGTATAATAATTAAAAAATATATTAAATAAAAAAAGCATTTGGAAAAATAAATAAAAAAAAATGAAAATTTTAAAAATGCTTTTAAAAAATAAGTAAAATTATTAAATAATGAAAAATATTAAATTAATTTAAAAAAAAAAATACATAAATTAATTTATATTAAAATATGATTATAAATATAAAGAAATATATATATATATTATTATATAAAATATATATATATATATCTAAATTTTTAATATATATTTATTTTAATATACTTAATATTTATTTTATAGATTAATAATTTTTATAATGTAAAATTTAATTAAAAATCTTTTAATTAAATATTAATAAAATAATTTTATATTAAATATAGCTATTGAAATTCTAAATAAAAATATTTTTTTTAAAAGTGAATATTAAAATAATATATATACAATTTTTTTATTTTTATTTTTTTATAAATATAAAATAGTATAAAAAATATATCATATAACCTGATTTAAAATAAAAAATAAATAAAAAAATATGAATAAAACATTTTTATCTATATTCGCAATTTTGGCCTTAATTTTTGCAATTTATAAATTTTACCCAAAATCTTAAGACTCTTAAATTATCTAATCATCTTTAAATAAAATCGAATATACTTACTACTAAGTAGAAATCGAATGGCCTGGTTCTTTATGTAAATTTAAAAAATGCAACAAATAAGACTTAATAGATTTTGATGGAACTCATTTTAACTTACATGGTGTATGGCCTACTGGAACTTCTTAAGATTAATGCAAATATTAATAAAATTGTTAAAAAATAATTTATGATTCCACTTTAATCGAATAAGATATTCTTTAAGATTTAAATCAATATTGGACTGGAATTTATGACTCTACTGAAACTTTCAGAAAACATGAATGGGAAAAACACGGAACATGCTGGAATGATAATTAAGAATAATAATTGTAAATCTCAACAAAAAAATACATGAATGATTACTTTAGAATGTCTCTTGAAGTTCTTAAGAAATATGAACCATTAGCTATTTTGAGAAACGTAGGTATTACTCCTAGTGATGAAAAATAATATAAATATAATGACATTATATAGGCACTTAAGGGATAATTGGGAAATGGAGTACTTGGTGTCTGTTAAATTGTTGATGGAAAACACTTTTTATATTCTATTGATTTTTGCTTAAATCTTAGTTAATAACCAAGTGACTGCTTATGCCTTACTAAAAAACTAATTGTGACGAAAATGTTGTATTAGGAGAATTTAAAACTAAATATAGTTATTGATTAAATTGTAGACAATCATTTTTTTTTTAATGTATTTATAAATATAAATCATTTTTTGATTGCTATTTTTATTATTTAAAAAACATAAAAAGTACAAATTTACATATTTAAAAATAATATTTTATCCATTATGTAAAAATAAATGTGTTTGCTTTTAATATTATTTCTCTAAAAAAAAATTATATATATTACAAAAATATTTAATTATTTTTAAAATTATTAAAAAAATAACCATACAAAATATATAATTTTTATATTAACATATACATGTATTTAAAATAAAATGGAATTTTTAAAAATGATAGTTTTTCAATTTAATCTAACAATATTTTTTTTTAAGCAAATAGAAATTAAATACGATTTTATAAAAAAAAAAATATTAAATATAATTTAATAAATCAATATTTTTAATATATTCATATTTATAGTTTAATAAAATAATATTTTTCCATTAGAATATATTTTTTCAAATTACATCATACATATAAATTTCAATTATATGATGCTTTTTTATTTTTATAGTATTTCAAAAATTATATTAATTATATACTATTATACAATAAATTTTAATCATCTTACTTTTTAAATAATTTATTTTAAAATGTTAAGTATTACTTTATATATTTTAAATATTTTCTATTATTTCTGCATTTTAATATTTATATATTAAAATTAACTAAATTATATATAATTTTATTTATTTGATATAATATTTTTTTAAATTATTATATTTAAATATATATAAATATTAATAAAATATTTTTTTTTATTATAGTTTATATTCACATATAAGTAAATCGCAGTGTGGGTTTATAAAACATCATATGTACTTTTTTAACAATTAAATATTATATTCATTAATTTTTATATAATCTTAAAAATATTTATTTATTATTAGGATAAAATAATTGAAATTAAAATATAGATATTTTAGAATCAACATTAAAAAAATATTTATTTTATATATTATTATATATAATTAATATATTAATAAAAATAATATAAATTAATTTTATGAATTTAAAATGATAAGAAAATATGTGAGGGTTATAAATTTAAAAATAATGCTTTTACAGAAATCGAGATTTCAGTATCAATAATACCTACAAAAGTTATATTGCGAAAAAAAATTTATAAAAGACTTTTTTTTTAAAATATAAATTAATTTTAAAAAATTATAAATTATATTTGATATTTATTAATCTTCAAAATATAAATTAAATGTATATTTTATTAAATAAAAACCATATTTATTATTTTAATAAATAAATTTATTTATATATTAATTTTTTTTATAATACATATTTTTTTTTTTTTATTTGAGATATATATTAGTTTATATTTTCTTAGTTTTAAAAATATAATTAAAATTATTTGTTTAATTGAAATAAAAATTTTAAGAATTAATTTGAAGATGAAGATAAATAAAGAATATATAAAAAAAATATTTATTATAATAAATAATATAAATAATAATAATAATAATAATAATAATAATAATAATAATAATAATAATAATTATATTATTGTTATATAATTATAAAGTATATAATCTTTTCTTTATTTATATAATTTGTTCAATAGTAAATAAAAATATCTTTATTTTATTATAGTTATATTTTTTATTATTAATATCCATTTAAATAAGTATTTATATCAATAAAATTATAATTATTCAATGATAATTTTTACAAAAGCTTATATTAAATAAAATATATAAAAATTATATTAATTTATTATAAAATTTATTGCAAAAATAATTTTATTATAAAATCTATTTATTTATTTAATTGTATATTATAAATTATTATTATTTGATATTACTTTTTGTTTAAATATATAATTATAAATTATGTTTTTCTCTTTACTTATATTTATTTTTAAAAATATTAAAAAATTTTTTTTTTTTTTTTTTTTTTAATAAAATATTTTTTTTATAAAATTCTTTTTAATTTTTAAAATTTTACTTAAAAATTTTTTTTTTAATTTTTATGGAAACATTTTTTAAAACAAATACTAAATTATAATAATCAATTATTATAATAATATTTAATCTTTTATTTTCTTATATTATTTTTTTTTTTTATCAAATTCTTATTAGTTATTAAAAATCTAACTTATAATATTTATTTTTTGTTAATTATTATGAAAATTTTAAATATTAGATTCTATGGAGAATATTTTTATTTTTTTTTAAAAAAAAATTTTAATTTTAATAATAAATTATTTTATCAAATACATTTTAATTTTATTTTGTTTTATTTATTAGATTATTAAGTATTTTTTTTATATATTAAAAGATAATTTTTCTATATATATCATAAGTAAATAAATTTTTATTTATATATATAAAACAAAATATGTATTTCATTTTTGTAAGATTTTTATTAAACAATCTTAATAAATTTAGGAAAAAAAAAAAAATATTCACATAAAAAAAATAATAATAATAAATATTTTTTTTTTAATACAAACTAAAAATATATACAATATACAAGAGTTTTACATATTTATTAAAAAAAAATAAAAAAAAATCCTAAACTAAAAAAATGGAAGAATTCCAAAAAGAAATAAATGTAAAAATAATTACCAAATACCAAAATAATTAAAATAAATAAAATAATAGTTAAAAATGATAAAAAAAATCCTTGATACTCCTTGTGATTCCCGCACATAAAAATAATTAAATGATTTACAAATTATGGTCTAAAACCTCCAATTTTTCAAAAATTATTTAGAAATGCCTGAAACTTAAAACGTTGTAAAGCTATGTTGTAAATATATGCAATATAAATTTTACGAAACTGATTCAGTAATATTTAGATAAGGACAGTTTGGTGATAATTTTTATGTAATAATATAAGGAGAAGTAGGTGTATTTAAGAGATACCGAAAAGTCCAAAACGAAAAAATAATAAAAGATTAAGATGACCAAAAATAAGATTAAATCCCAATAGTTAAAAAAAAGGAAAAAAATAATAGAAGCTAATTAAATATGTTACCTGGCTCAGTTTCTAAACTAGAAAACTTTTAAGAAACAATTTTGGAAGCTAAACTAAGTGATGGAAATGGTTTTGGAGAAATAGCTCTTTTGAACGATGAGAAAAGAACTGTAACAATAAAGTGTTTATAAAATACTCATGTAGCATGGTTGAGTAAATAAACTTTTTAGGAAATTTTAAAGGAACATGAGATCATTAAAATATAAAATGGAATTAATTTTTTGAAAAAAATTCAAATTTTTGAAAAATGGTAAGATAGATATTTAAGAAATATTTATATGAATTGTATTTCCTAAAATGTGGCTAAAAACGATATTATTTATAATGAAAATGATATATCGGATTTTTTTATTATTATTAAAGAAGGAGATTATGGAGTGATTTTTTTAAATATTTTTATATTAATATTTTTTTTTTTATTTTTTTTATTTTTTTTATAATTTTATTTTATTTAGTTGTATAAAAAAATCGAGAAAATAGAAAAATAAAATGAAGATAAATAAAAAGAAAGTATTTTAAATTTTTCAACATTAAATAAATATGCAATACCTAAAGCATCAAAAGAAATAAAAGTAATAAAAAAAAAAGAAAAAAAAATCAAAATCAAAAAAACAAAAAAATAAAGATAAAATTAATTTCATAAAGCGAATTTGTAGGCGAAGAATATTTATTAAAATTAAACAAAAGAAAGTTCAAATTAAAATGCGAAAGTATAAAAGGAATAATATTTAAAATATCCCGTAGTAATTTTATGCGTTAACTAAACGAATCACCTTAATTAATAAAATAAACAATAAAACTTTTACAAATGAGAGACTAAGAAAATGAAGTTCGAATATAAAAATAAATATAACAAATATAAGAATATAAGTAATTTTTAATATAAGATTTAACCCCTGCACATATTTAATAAAAACTCGATAAATAATATAGTGTATAAACAGACGAAAAATAAAAATAAAGTAATTTACAAATCCTCTTCAAAAATGCTAACGAAATGAATTATTTATAAAAGCTTTATTTAGTTTAAAATGAATAAATTAATTAATAATGCATTAATGATAAATTTTTAAATGCTAATTATAAATAAAGAGAAAAAATGCTTAGAGAAAGTCAAGAAGCTATTCAAAGTTTACAAGAAATAAAAAGCAAGATAGAATATGAAGCAAGAAGAAGTACCATAGAAGGTCATATAGCAACTTAAAATATTATTTAAGCTGAAATACAAAGAAGAAATACGACTTTTTATTAAGGAAATTTATAAAAGAAAAATAGCTTCTAACAAAAATAATTGGAAAATGATATCATTAATAATAATAATAATAATAATAAATAATAATAATAATAATAATAATAATAATAATAATAATTATAATAGTAATAACTATAAATAACCAATAAATAATAATAATATTTAGAAATAACCAATAAATAATAACTTATATTATTCAATAATTGGGTTAAAGGAAAAAAATCGAAAATATATTAATCATGCAAAATCTTTAAGTTATATTCCTATTCCTTCAGAAATAAGTCCTTCTTAAAAAATTAATTATTAATAAAAATTAACAAAAGTCTTATTGATTAATATAATTATTAGAATAATAGTAGGAATAGTAATCCCCAAAGATAATTATATGAATTTTAAATTAATAAAAAGCTAGTTTGTAAAGGCAAAGTACCTCAAGATAATTTTATTAGAAATTGGAAAAAATAAAAAGTTAATGCTTAATAAGTTAATTTAATGAAAAAAATAAATAAAATAATGACAAATTAAAATGTACTTAATGTTTAAGAATATTTAATTACAAATAAAAATGACATTCTTAAATTACCTAAATTTTAAGAATGAAAAAAAAATATATAATAAATATATATTAATATATAAATGTATATATATATATGTATAAATATATATATATATTTATATATATTAATTTATTTATATATTTTTTTATTTCTGATCTTCTTTTTTTTATATATATATATATAAAAAAATCTTAATTTAATTAAAATTATATATATTTTATGTTTTGTTTTATTTTATATAAATAAAGATATTTATATTTAAAAATAAATAAACATATTTTTTTAAAATTAATTTAAATAATTTAATATTTTTAATTATTAAAATATAATTAATTATATAAATATTTTAATATTTTTTTTTTTTTAAATATTAGTAGAATATAATAAACATCAATTATTTTTTTAATTAAGTATCGGTAGTTTATATTAATTTACTTAAATAATATTATTACTCTTTTTTACATCAATAAACTTTTTAATTTTATTGATTAAATTGTTTTTTTTCGTTTGATTATTATTATTATTATTATTATTATTATTTTTATTATTTTCTATATTTCTCCAACTTCTAATATAATTATTATAGTTTTGTTTTTTTATTTATTATTTATTTACAATTAAATCAATATTTAATTTATTTTAATAGTTTTTTAAATAATATTAATTATCAATATCTTCTAAAGTATTTTTTTTACTTCTTATAATAACATCAGGTATATTAGGAATATTGCTTAAAGATTTAATATTTTATATATTTTCTTTTAAACCTATACTTTCTTTTTAACTTTTCTAGCTCTCTATATTTTAAATTGAAATAGAAATATCTTTTATCGGGAAATTATTAAGTTAATACTGATTATTTATTAAATTTGTATTATTTAAAGAATTAAATTATTATTATTTCATTTATAAATTTTCAGAATTATTATTTTTATTTTTTGGTGATATTATTGCTTTTATATACGATAATTTAGTATTTTTATCTTCAAATAGATAGTTTTTGTATTATGAAAACTACTCTTTCATTTTATTAATTCTCATTTAATTATCTTCTTCTTTCTAAATAATTGATGATTGCACTTATTTCCATTTTAAAGAATCTTTATCAATTGCAAATTTGAAATTATATGCCCTTAATTTATACACTTGACCTTATAAACTTTCACACATTAATTTATAGTTTCTTTGTTTTTCTTTTAAAAACTTATCTTCACCAATCAATTCTCCTTAAGTAAGAATTTTAATCTATAAATTTATATATATATATATATTTATATATATATTTTTTTATATTATTACTTTAACATTTTTCTTTTATTTTTTTAAATTATAGTCTTCATTTACATTTATATTTTTATACAACTTTAATTTTTTTATTTTTTTAATAAAAAATAAATAAAAATATTATATATTTACTGCATATTCTCCATATTTTATTAAATATACATAATTACAATTTTTATCATTTTCATTATATATAACATCATTTTTGCCTTAGTTTATCAAAACAGAAGTTTAAAAAAGTTACAAAATACTTTTTTAACTGCATCCTTGGAATATATTTTATCCTACAAAATAATTAATTTCTATTTTATTATTTAATTAAAATATTAATTGTAAAAATAATAATATTTACCTCTTTAATGTTTTATTTATTCATGCTCTTTTAATATGTTATTAAAAGTATCTTTACTTAAAACAGCTAAATGTGTTTCCGTTATAGTTTTTATACTAGCAGAACGTGGTTTATCATTAATAAGAGCCAGTTATCCGAAGCTATCTCCTGTATAAAGATATTTAAGAAATATATTTTCACTATTATTTTTATTATCAACATCAGTTTCTTCATCTTCTTCATCGATTATTTACTCTTACTTATATACTCCTACTTATCCCTATATTATAACATAGAATTTATCAGCTTAATCATTTTCATTAAAAATCATTTAATTTTAATCAAATTATTGATATTACATATATTTACAACATAAGTTTACTACATTCGCTGTTTCAGGATTTTAAAGGTAATCTTAAAAAAAAGGAAGGTTTTTTATTAATTAAAATAATTCTTATATTCTTTATGAAGATCTTTATTATGAATTAAAGTTTAATATTTTTTTTATTTCTTGTAACTATTTTTTAATTATAATTTATTTAATCTTTGTATTTTAAATTTTTTTACATTTAATTTTTAGTTTTCCATATTTTTTTTATTTTTTTCCTTTTTATTGAAAGTTTTTTTTAAATAAATAAATAATTAATTTTTTTTTTTATTTTTTATAATTTTTTTTTATATTTTTCTATAATATTTTATATATTTTTTATTTTATTTTTTTTCTTTTAACAAATTCTATTATAATATTTATATATACTTTATATAATAAAATAACAGAAATATTAAAAAAATATAAATTTGATTTGTTTATTATATTAACATGTAATTAAAAAAAGTAATTTTTTATGATTAAATAATATATTTTTTTAATAATCTTTAGAAAATAGATAAAATATTTTATTAAATTATGTCGTTTTTTAAAAAAATAAACTATTTGCGTTTATTAATATAAAATATTTTCAATAGAAATAGACATTATAATAATATTTTATTTTTTTTTATAAATAAAATAAAAATTATTTTTCGATAAAAGTAATAAATTTTATTATTACTTTAATATTTAATTTATTAAAAGTAAAAAAAAAAAAAAAAATTATTAAATTTTATATATTATATACATAAAAAATTAAAAGCAATATCATCTAAAAAACTATTCATAATTTAAAATTAATAATCTAATTAATTATTAACATTCTATAAATTAAATATGCGCCGCTCTTCCAATAAAAGTATCAATATTTCTAAAACAAAAAAATTAATTTAAATATTAAAATATAATAAAAAGTAACTTCTCCTAAATTTAAAAATGTACATCTAACCTATATAAAACATTAGTACTAAGTTATCCCAAAACATTTTAAGTCATTTCATTATACAATTATCCTTTTTTAGGATCTTTTGAAGCTTCTTTAGTCATTTCAATCCTTGCGGAGTCAAAAGGTGAATAACTATCCTAAGAACTTGAAACAAGGCATATATTTTTAAACCAGCCAAGTCCTTTAGCCTAAGATAATTTATATAAAAAGGTTTATTAAATATCTTAATGATCCGCCATAGTAAGTTATTAAAGGCAAATACTTTTTTTCCACCTTTTTAAAATCCAGATTCCTGTATCGATTATTTTATTAGAATTATACATAAATCCTAAATGTGGGGAAGATAAAGACATAAAAGTGAAAGTTTTTTATGAAAACTACTCTAAATAAGGCAATGCTGACCTAATAATTAATCCGCCTAAACTAAATCCTATAAGAGAAAGTCTAATTATTTTTTTGTTAATTATTTAAAATATAAATATATATGTATACTTCCCTAAATTATCCCCTTAACAATTATCTTATACAAACGCAGTTATTTCATTAGCCAAATTTTTTCCCATATCTTCTAAATCACCTTCTGTGTTATCCTCATTGTATGAACTACATAAAAACATGGCTTCCGGATATGAATAATTGATGTAGTTTTTGAATAATTTCATATCAAAAGCATTACCTTAGAATCCATGGACCAATATAAATAAATGAATTCCTTTGTAATATTCTTGGGATGGATCTGTGCTGTCTGTTATGTTTTCTTCATTTGCCTCTTTTTGTTCTTTTATTATTATTTCTTCGAAAATTAAAGGATGTTAGTTTATTTTTTAAGAGTTTATCTATTCGATTTTCTATTTATTTTTTAATAATAAAAAAAGAGATTTAATATATATTATTTATTACGTTATGATATTTTTTGTCTATAATTTCTAAGTTTTATCTTATTTTTAAAGCTATTTTTTAATTTTAGTCAACATTTATTTACTCATGCATTTTAGCGAAGTTTTAGCTTTAAATCTTCTTTTTAATAATAAACATACTTATTCTTTCTTTCAACCTAATATAATATTCATATTTAAACAAAACAAACGTAAAAACAGGAGATACTTTATATAAATCAAGATATTTATACCATAATAATTATAACTAATTGCTCACGAAATTAGCCTCATTTAAAATTGCGTGCAAAATCACTTCTGGATCTTTAGTTTTAAATCTTTTTTCTAATAAAATATTAAAGGATATATTTTTTTATTATTATTATTAATCATTTGGAACATATTCTGGTATTATAAGTCTATTAGGAGGTTACTTTATATATATAATACATATATGTGAATTTTTATTATTTAATATTTACTAAATATTTCTTGAATTTTTTTTTCTACCAATCTAATATGCATCTACTACTAATTTTATTATAATGATTATAAATTTTATTATAAGATTTTTTCAAATTATCTACAAAAACAGAATACACATATTCATAATCAATTTCTTTATTATTTTTAATATTTAGTTATTTCTTTAATGCTTCATCCATTTGTTTTTATTATTAAGAATCTTATTTCTATATATATTATTCGATATACCCTATTCTTTCCTCAGGAGGAATTTTCGAAAAATCAGAAAGCTATATAGGAATTAATCTATATGCATAATCTAATAAAACATGAATACATTTAATTTATTTTGAAAAAAAAATAAAAAAAATACCTAATCTTGTTGTATGTATAATAGCATTTGCAATACAAAAGTTTGATTCTTGGAAAAACAAAGGAATATATTCGTGTATTCCATCAAATGGGTCACTTATTTTGTATTTATTAACAGTAAGGCTTCTGCTTTCATTATATAAATTTTATTCTTCACTACATTTATGTGAAAAAGAAGGAGGTTATTATTAAATATTATTTTCTATTTTTTTTTATACATTTAACGAATTTAAAGTATTATTGTTTCCGTTGATATTCATACAATCGAAAAACATTAATTCCGTTTCCATATATAACTCTATGGCTTCTTTTTCAATATCAAATTCTAAATTGAAATGGCAAAAATCATTTAATTCAACTTCTTCTTCACAAAACTTTATAAAAAAAGACTTCGAACAAAAAACATTCTAACTTTCAATTATTCCAGCAGGCCGAAAATACTAAGAATCGTTAAATTTTAAACCTTTTAATGTTTCGTTTTGTTCAGTTTTATAACGCTTATAATTCTCACTTAATTTATATGGATGTGCATATGTTTTTTACTTTTATATATTTTATATACTTTATTCCTTTTTTTTTTTTAATACTTAATCTTTAGGATTTTAATAATATATTGTAAATCGTAAAAAATATAAGCCTTAATAAAATAAGTCTATGTTTTGGAAATTCTGTAAATGTAAAACTATTTCTAATATTGATTTAAACGACATTATATTTTTTATAAGAACTAATATATTTTTTTTTATTTTTTAAAAAAAATTATATTTCAATTCTTTATTGTATTATATATATATAAAAAAAAAGAAATACTACTCTTTTATTTAAAAGATAAAAAAAAATTATAAAATGTTATTTTAAAAAAAAAACTTAAAATAAACATTCATTTTTTCCCTTTAATTTTTTTTTCTTATTCTTTCCATTTTTCCCTTAATTTCCTATCTTTTCTCTAAATATCTTCAATAACTTCTTTATATTGTTACCCTTTAACCTTATCCCCTGCCCTTAAATACAATAAATCTTATCTCCAACTACAATCACTAGGTATAGGATTCTCTTCCCCTTCTAAAACAAAAGGCAACGGTTCTTCTTGATTCCACAAAAATTCTCCATCTACTACAATTTCTTTATTCCAAAAGCCTTTAATATTACAGATTTATTCTTTCACATCTTCCTTTAGATTTAATCCTTCTATTTTATAATAATGAGGTTTCAATTATTAAATTTTCCTCAAAAAATCATCAGTGGCTCTATAAATTCCTCCTTAAACAAAATCAATAGTTGTCGACTATTTAGACATAGAAAAAAAGCCCTTTTTATCTGGATTAGCCTTCACTTCCATCACAAGTTAATTCTTTAAATCATGTGCAATATACGACCCATCTACTGACATATATCTTGTCCCAAAAGAAGTTCCATTAAGACTCCCTGCTGCCTAAATAAGTCCAATTTTATTCCCAGTATTCTTAAAAACGACCCAAAAATTGCCCTAATTAATTCCCGTGACACTATTAGCATGCATCTAGGCAATACTCTCTATCTGCCCGTGAATTTAATAGCCTTCCCCATCATAAAAAAGTGCACAAATAGGCGGATGATGGCTAATTTATTCGCAATAAAAAGGAAAACCATTCAATCTTCCTTAATATGTTTCCCCAAGTACAGGATTAAAGGGTTTAGATAAATCCAAATACATAACAGTTGTAGTAATAAGAAAAATGCCAGCAAATTTCATCTATTAAACGGCATCAGTTAATAAAGCCGCCTTTTTTAAATAAATAGGAGCAAAAGAGCAACTATAAGCGAATCTTTCTAAATTAGATCTTGGTTCAAAAATATCTATAGGAAGTGAAATCGAGAGAATAGATTTTCCTTTAATTATATTAGAACCGATTTTTGATAATAGGAAAGATATTATTTTTTTCTAAGTCTCGATTTTTTCCTTGTTTATGAATAAAAACTTGCCTGTCTTTTCTTCCCGTTCCCAGTCTTTTTTGAATTAATAATGACCGTTTTCGCATGAACTTTGGAGTCTTTTTTCACTGTATTTGGTATTTATTTGGGACATTTCGAACTTCTTTTTTATACAAAATGATACGTGTGTGTTTTCAGTGATTAGTTATATTAAGTTTTCTAAAGACTAATGGATTAATGTTTCTTTTTCTTAAATTAAAAAAGACGTTTAATGAATTAATTCTTTCGAATATTGATTCATTTCTAAGTTTAATTACTCGTTTTCTTCCTCGTCTTTTTCGTATAAAATTAATTACTCTTTCTCGTCTTCATTTTCGTCATTACTTTTTTTAAAAGATTATAATTAATATTTTCTAATTATTATTAATTTTAAATTTCTGTATAATGTAATTAACTTTAATTTTTTTTTGAAATTTATTATTTTAAAATTTTCCCTTTAACACTAAAAAGATTTTATATTTTCTCCCCTTCCTCAATTTTTCTATTAATTTCATTTATAACACCCTCAAATCCTGCTACATATGCATAAGTAATCCCCGCATCCTAATATTTGTTCAAAAATCCCAAATTTTCTATTAAAAGATCCACAAAAACCTACACAACATCTTCTTCCTCTTCTTGAATACATAATACTTTATATTCTATATTTCCTCTCACAGTGACCAAAGAATTTCCTCTTACTTACTCATTTTCTATTGATTTATCAATAATGAAGTATTTACCATTTTATACAAACGAATATCTCATATAAACGTAATCCCTAGGCCTATATATGAGACTACTTTTCTTATTTTTTTAATAAATAACAGCTAATTATTTGTCTCTAAGTAAATTTAATATCTTTATTTGGCTCACACAGGAATTCCACTATATTTCATACTCTACATTATTAAATATATTGAACACATCTGTTATTTTTACGCATTTAATTTATTAAATTACCCTCATTTTTCGTGGGTCACTTTAACTTTAGTATATGCAAGTATTTCCATTATTAAATCTTTATATGCATTAGAATTCTATAGGAGGAATTTCAGTATTTACTTTATTTAAGTCGTAATTTTAAAAAAATTAACTCATTATAAAAGGAGGAATAATTTCTTCCGAAATATTGTTTATTTCATTAAAATTCTCGATTTTTTATTATGATAAACTTAAATTTTGTTAATATAAAAAATTATTATTTTCAGATAATTAAAATGAGTTTTTTATTTAAATTTCATTTACTATTATAGGATCAATAGTAATTTCATTATTTGTTTATTATTATTATATTTATTATGTTTATTCTATATTTTATTATTATTATTAAATATATTATATTTACTAAGTATTTTATTATTATGATTATATTTATTATGTATTTAGTTATTATGATAAAGACAATTAGGTTTATTATGTATTTTTTTATTAATATTATATTTATAATGTTAATTATGTTTATTATTATTATTATTATTATTATTATTATTATAATTATTATTATTATTATTATTAATTTTAATTTTCTTGATTTTTTATATTATTTTGTATCTAATTTTTATAATTAAACATTAATTAATATACATATTATTCTAAGCAATAGCATTTAAAGTTTTCTATTATATTGCTTCATACCATTCCATGCTTCCTTTGAGTGTATTCCAGCCTAAATATACTATTTTATATTTATTTGTTTCATATTTAGAAACTAATGCAAATGTTTACATACTTTATTTTATTCCAATCCATTATACATTATAAGTTTATAAATCATAAATTTTAATTTTTTTTTCTTTATAGTTTACAATTAAAATCCATTTAATATAATTTACTTATCTTTCCATATTTTAAAAGTTTTAGAACGTAACTTTATAAATCCTTCTTTTTTTCCATTTTCCTAAAGTTAAATATAATTTCTTATATTATTTATAAACATCTATCATATTTTTATTCGCTATTCAAATTCTTTAAAAAATTGATTTCATGATTTTCGAAACCATCTTAAAATATTTTTTTTTCTTTTTTTAAATATTACGTTATTTTTCAGAAGTTAATAAATAAAATAAAAAATTTAGTTCGCAATTTAACTTTTTATTTATTATGTTTGGTATTATTACATCTAATATTTATTTTTGGTCTTCTAAATAATTTATATCTAGTTTTTTTATATTTGATAATTACATTTATATTAATATATATGTATATATATATATAATTTTATATGATATGTAATTATATTTATTTATAAATTTTTAATTAATTTTATTCAATCGAAATTTTTATATATATTAATTAGATTTTTATTTATTTTTCTTTAACTTCAATGTTAATTTTTTTTTTATAACAAAAATATATTTTTTTGAAAATCTTGTAATATTTTTTTTTAAAAATTAATTATTATTATATTTTTTTTTTAACAAATTTTAAAATTAATTTAAAATATAATTTACTATATTAAAAACTTATTATTTTTTATATAAATTAATTAATATATTAAGTATTTTATTTATATAAAAAAATAAATAAAGGTAAAAAATTAATAATTAAAAACTTATCTATATATAATTATTTAATAATTATAAAATAACAAACTAAAATTTAAATTCTTTTAATTAATATTTATTACAAAAAAAACAAAATAGTTAAATCAAAATATAATAAATAATTAGTAAGTAATAATAAATAAATTTTATATATAATTAATATGTTCTATTTTATTTTTTAAATAATTAATTCTTATTAATAAAATCAAGGACTTTAAGCATCTTTATGTTATTTATTCTTTTCATTTTCTTTCACTTATTCATTAGGTTTTTTATTTTTATTTTTTTCAGTATCTTTTTCAGGTTTTTATTCTTCTTTTGTGACATTATTATTTTTTTAATTATTTTTAACAGGTTTTTATTCTTCTTTAGAGCTATTCTAATTATTTTTCTTTGAATTTTGAAGTAATCTTGCTAAAATAGAGCCATTATCTGGGATTTATTCGTCTTTTGTTTAAGTGGAGGAATCTTATTATTATTAATCATTATTTTCTTTTCTTTCTTTATCACCTTTTCTTCCTTTTCCTCCTTTTTCTCCTTTTCCTCCTTTTCCTTCTTTTCCTTTTCCTCTTTTACCTTCTTTAGAACCTTTTCCATCTTTTCTAGATTCGTTTTCTTATTATTCTTTATGGTTTTTTATTTCTTCAAATTTAGATTAGAATTATGTGAAATCAAGACTGAATTAGGTAAATAATTCTTAAAGTTTTTAGTTTTTAATTTCTTTAGAAAGGTCTTAATTTTTAACTATAGTTTTAAATTATTAAATAAAGCTAACTTTTTATTCTTGTGTTAGAGCAGATTATTCTAAAAATTCAAATTTCTTTTAATCATGAGATAATACTAAACTAATTAATAATAATAATAGAATTAATGTTTTCATATTTGGTTTTTTATTATTTATTTATTTTTTAAATTGTTTTTTTATTTAAAACTTTTAATTAGATTATTTTATATTGTTTTTAAATTGAATTTTTTATGTAGTCTTTTATATAATTTTGTGGTATTTCTTATATATATATTTTTTTTTAATTTATTATTATTTTATATACTGATAAATACTTTTTTATTTAACATTTTAAAGAAATTTTACGTATTATATTATATAAAATTAAATACAATTTTATCGTCAATTTAAATAAAAAATATATATTAAATAATAAACATAATAATTATAGATAAAAAATATATTTATTTAATTATTTTATTATAATTATTTAATATTTAATACATATAAATGAAAATTATACATAAAAAAATAATATATTATGGCTATCATTTATATATAATAATTTTAAGATTATTCATTTATGTATTATATAAAAATATATAACATATTTTAATTATATTTTAACCTAAATATTATTATTAATATAAAAGTTACCTGAAAATTTTATTCAATTTTAAAGAAATTTAAAATAATTAATTAAAATAATTTTTATATATAATGAAATAGAAAAAAAATCGTTACTAAATTAATAAAAATTCTATATAAAAAATTCAATTAAAAATCAATTTTTAATAACATTATAAATAAAAATAATAAAAAATTTAAGTATGAAAACATTAAATATAATAATACTAAAAAAAATGGAAAATTAATCAAAAATAAAAAACATTATATATACATAATTTTTTAAAAAAAAATTTAGATTGAAAAAAGTTAATAAATTATTTTAATATAATATTTTATTTATTTAATTTAAAAAAAACTAGTTAACATTTAAATAATATTATAAATATATTTAGAAATACATTATAAATATAAATTAAATTCAAATTATTATTATATTCATAAATAATTATTTTTTAAATTATAAAAAAATAAAATTTTTATAAATAAATATATATACAGAGTATTATAAATTTAAAATTCTATAAGAATAATTAAACAACAAATAAGAAAAAAAAAATAA